TTATCCGGTGACATTTGGACTGTCACATTTTTAGACTGAGTTTCTTGGTGAATTCGATCCCTCTGCAGCTGCGATTGGCTTAAACCCTACTGTACATGAACAGGGTCGTGTATCGTGTCAGCGTCGGGCCTGGATTAACCGTCTTGCCCAAGCTGTGGGATTGCTGATTGCCTGGATCATATTCCTTTGGGTTACGTCCCTGACTTCCAGCTCCATCCATAACCGCCTGGTTTGTCCACGTAAGAGGATTATTTCATTTTCTTGTTTGGGGTTGATCCTTCTCCCCAAATTGCAAAGTGTGGCTTTTGTGGGAGGAGTGGGGGAAGATAAGTGACCTGCGAGCATAAAAATTACTCATTTGAGGTGGTTCTTCATATGTAGCAAAGAATGCGAGTTCTGTTTAAGAAATCTGGGTTTGTAACTTCACAGCAAATAGGAAAGGGGAATTGTTTGGAGGAAGGGATTCTTCAGATAAGTTTCAAAATTTGCTTGGCTGAAGGGGTAGGGCACTTTGATGGGGGGGTTAGGTGAAGTCTGTATTTTTTTTTAGCAGCCCCTGCCCTTACGTCTCAGTCGAGCTTCTCTACGACTGTAGATAGACCTCTGTAAAAGGAAACCAAGTCCATGTGTGTTTTTCTAACCGAGAAAGGCAGAAGGACTTTTTTTTCCTCCTTCTAAAACCCTTTTACCTTCTTCAGGCTCTGCGTGCGTGTCCGCCTACATCTGTATGCGTCTGCATGCTTTTTTGATGAAGAATTTCAAACCGAAATACACCTCAGCGACTCCCCGGCCTTGCGTGAGGCCTTCCAAATGATCGTATCTCCTGAATGCCTAGCATGCTGCCTGAAGAGTTGCTGCAGATGTTTGGAAGTCGTGGCTCACGCTGTTTTTGTTACCCTTGGTTTTTGGCTTGTAAAAGCACTTGCTCTTAAGCTGTGCTAGCTTATAATGTTACCGTGCTGGTGCAGCTGAAGAGATCCTGGAATATTAATTTTCTCTTCCATAAGTGCATTGATTATCCCTGTGGGTGAGATCTCGTATGCTTTTTGTACCTCGCTCGGTTTTTTTCTAGTTGATCAGGAGCACCTCACTTCCACAAATGGGAACGTTCTTCTGGAGCTGTGAGCTGGCTTTTGCAGAAGATGCTGGACATGAAGCCTGGTCTCTGTTTTCTAGTAAAGTGATGGCTGGTTTGAGAGAGAGAAGGTAGCAGTTGATCTGAGAACAGCCGAATAGTTGGGAGTCCGTACGGTGCTTATTTTGCTTTCCTGCCCGTAAGATAAATGTAAGTGCAGTGAGGGCACTGGTGTGAGAGCTCATGATGTTACTTCCGCGTAGGCAAGTCAATAATACATTTGATTGTAGTTACATGAGGCAGCGTACGACTACAGAGGCCAGTGTTTTTGGACTCCATTTATATTGTTCAGGTAACCATTTCTGGCAGAATTATCCACAGACGTGAAAACGAGGCATGTGGCACCAGTGTTGCATTTTTAGTTTTAGACAGCTGCTTCATGTTCTGAATTTTGTTGCGCAGGCTGAAAAGATCCATCACCCTTCAGCCATGGGGAAGCAGGATGTACGTAGGAATGATGGTATTTGTTCAAGTCTGCAGCGGTCTTGAAGGAAGAGTTTGAGTTAGTGGCTGCCTCCTGCCTCTCAGTTCTCTGAGGTAGTAGTGGGTTTGCTACGGATCATCAAAGGTCTTTTTAATCACCTGGCAATGCTTTTGTCTTTCAGATTTATCTCCTCTTCAGAGGATCCTATTCTTGTTCTGGTACTTAGACTGTCCTAGAACACTAGTTGTTGCTTGCTTGTTCTGTAACATACCTGTTAGTGCTTAGTTATTGAAATAAATCACTCCCGATAACATAATAAGATACTTTGATATGTCTTTGTAGCTTGTTAGCATTTTACATTAGCTTGTTATATTTTTTCTTCTGTGTTCTGCTCGCCTCACATGGTAGCAAAAGGGAGAGAAATACTTTTTTGTTCCTTGGTAGGTGAAGCAGAGAGCTTTGCTCCAAACGCTGTCTCCTGCTGTCCCTTTTCTTGTATTCCCTCTCTCTTCTGCCTGCTTCTTTCCTCCCAAAACCCACTCTGGCCCATTGCTGGTCCCGTGAAATTCCTGGGTGGAGGGGAAATAAGAAGGTCTTCGCTCACTATATTTGGCCCTACCTATTCCGCTGTAAAGCTGTAGCGTGGGGTCACCTACTCGGGCGGCGGATGTGCTAAGGAACCAATTTGAAGTTTCCTGCTTGCATCCAGTAAACGTTAAATCGCACAAGCGTACTGTTGTTTTGCAGAACATCTAGCACGCCGTGTCTGAGGGCATGCTGGAACCTTATCTTCAAAGGCTGTCTTCTAAAAATACCACGCATTAAGATTGCATTTTGCTTTTATTTGCACACAGGAAAGTAATATAGTAAGAAGGTGTTAAGGCACCTCTTAAATGTGTGACTTGGGCAAAGATAGGCTTGTAGAGCTATTTCGTGGGAAACTAAATTTGTGGAATGTAAAAACTTGGCTCATCTGCGAAATACACTGATGCTGCTGGTGCTTCAGAAGAAATACATCACAGCGTTTATCAATCTGTGCCAGACTGAGGAGCCGCTGCCCTCACCCCATTTTTCTGGGGATCCGAATTGCAAGATGAAACGCAGGATTTCTGTAGAAGGGACTTCTGAAGGGAGGCTTCTGAATTACCCTGCAATTACGCGCCAGCAGTGTGTAACAGTATTCAAAATCCTAAATGAGTGGCCTGGCTTTCAAAAGTGCTGAACAGTCAGAAGCTCCTATTGAGTGCAGCGGCAGCTGAGGGGTGACTCAACATTTCTGAAGATCATTCCACTTAAATAAGGATTTATTTGCTTGATCTTAGTCTTTGGAAAGCAAGTGAAATTCTCATTCATGGTTTTAGGGATGTAGAAGATAGAGCTGCATGTCTAATTTTAAGCATCTCTTTATTTAAAGCTCTTTTGGCTAATAGCTTTATCAAGTCACTTATTTGTGATTACTTATGCGTATCTATCTGGGATGCTGTTTTATATTTAAGGAAAATGATGTTCTATTCTGTTTTAGCTGGCAAGCTTTTACGGATTTATGCGAGTGCGGGTTGCCATGGGGAATGACTGGCAGGTTAAGCTTGACTTTTTAAAGAGGCTTACTGAGTTGAAGCACAAAACCCCCCTAGCATTGAGGGAGAAACTTTAATAGCTGGGTAAAATGATCTTACTTAAACTTTTAGGTAATTGTTTTCCTTTGCGAGAAATTAGGTCCAGAAGCATCCTTACAAAAGAAGAAAACTATTGAAAACAGAGATGGGGGGAGGGAAGGATTTGCGATGTGTGTTTTTTTTCAAAGTATACCAAAGCAAATTGAAATGGGAGAAAATATTAAATAGGGAAAGCTTTGTTTCCTTCTCTAATTGCACTGGATTTGTGTTACAATATTCCTTTTACAAAAAGGGAAGCCATGCATTCACACTCTGGTTTGTGTGATGCGTTAACTTGCTAAATTAACATCCCCCTCTTATTTTTGTGCAACGCATTTGTTTCCAATAAATAGCTGCTACGGCCGTACCTCTAATAACATGGAAAATTCCAGTGGAGTATCAGGTCTTTGACTGGATGTGTTCCTCAGATAATGGGAACAAACTTTTTTCCCCTTAACTATTGAAATTAAATACATTTTATGTACCTTGCTGAGAACAACATGTTCGTTTCGGAAAGCCTGGTGTTTTAAGCTCACTCAGAAAATGTAAAGGTAGTAAAATCACTTACGTTTTATTTGCTGCCAGTGTCTGAAGAAGGTCAGGCCACCTAGTTGGTAGAAGGCGTTAGTGGAAGCCAGAGCTGCTCGAAGACCCAGAGTAGCTTTTTGACAAGGTTAGATTCCTTTTCTGTGAGTTCACAGAACCTGCTGTCCTCTGTTTCTGGATAAAGCAAGATAAAGTGTAGTAATTATCTCATGCAGAATTGAGAAGATCAGGCCAGCTCTTCTTCTGGTTTGTGAATTAAAGGAAACTTCGAAAGGATGAGGTCTGCTGGCTTTGAGAGGAATGACTTCATGTCCAGAAACTGCTGCAGGTTCTTAACAAATGGAGTTTGAAGGCCAAATGTGTGAGGAGGGACTTATTCCTTGTCTTATATTAGCATAATTAAGGCAGTTCTGTTTGAGACAACTTGGAAGTGCTTTTTTAGTGACTTTGGTTGATTTGTCCTGATCCGGAAGAAGCTGGATCCAAACAAGTAAAGACAAATGCGCCAGTTGGGCTTTTCACATACACAGATACACGCAGTACTCGTTTACAGAAAAGTGAATTAAGCTAATGGCCAGGTGCAATTTTTGCCTTTCTGATTAGCCAAGAGAATTAGAGTTAGTCTGAGGTCAGAACATAGTTGAATTATTGGAACAGGATTGTTAGACAAAGATTCTAGTGTGCATTCGTGCTTCTTCACGATTCAAATTTTGTTTAATCAGTGCCCCTTGATTCCCAGTCAGTATTTTCACTTGGTTTTGTCCTACCAGTAGAAAACATAGGAACTCACTGTCACTGGTCTCCTTTCCTGATTCAGAGCCTGTTCATCTAATAATCCCTACCTTTCTATGTGTACATACTATGTGTACATGTATACAAACTCTAATCTTTATTTAAATATTGTTACTAGGGGAAAAAAAAAATCTTCTCTTTAAAACTGTGCAAGCAGTGTCTTAAGCATGTTTTAGCTATCATGGGACAAGCAATGCAGTTTTTTTCATGTACTTTTAATATCCTGCACTTAGCTTGAAAAATAAAAGAAGCAAAAAGCCACAGACTTCCTTAGAAACATGATCTGCAATTTGTTAAAAACAATTCTAATGTAGATATTTTTTCCTCCTAGGTTTTACCAAGAGACAGTACATCTAACACTTAACTTGGATCATCTCTTGTTCATCAGCTTGAAAATCATAACAGCCCCCAAAACTGACATTTGATCTGAAAGAAAAAGCTGTGACAAATGGACAATATGTCTATTACTAACACGCCAACAAGTAATGATGCTTGTCTGAGCATTGTTCACAGCTTGATGTGCCATCGACAAGGTGGAGAGAGTGAAACTTTTGCCAAACGCGCAATTGAAAGTTTAGTTAAAAAGCTAAAGGAGAAAAAAGATGAATTGGATTCTTTGATTACAGCTATAACCACAAATGGAGCTCATCCTAGCAAGTGTGTTACAATACAGAGAACGCTGGATGGGAGGCTTCAGGTTAGTACAAGTGAAAATCAGATGTTTTCCTCGTAGCGAAGCTGGAGCAAAAGTGAGTGACGCAGGATCCTAGCGTGTGAGGAAGAGTAGCTCTTCTCTTGCATCCCCCCTCGCCCCTGTTTGTAGGCATGTTTTGTGGCTGGAGCTCTGGACTGCTGCAGTAGTTGATTATTTTTTTTTTCCGAAGGAGCAGAAGGCGTTGGATCAGCCTTTCTGAACGAGTGTCTGTGTGGCAGTAAGAAGCAGGGTCACGTAACAAATTCGGCTGTTTATTCCTGGTATTTTCACTACAAGCTTCTGTTAGCTCTGTGTTGGTCAGCAGTGTGAAGAAAGACCTATGATCCCTTGCTAAGGTACTCCAAGGAGTCTGCACTGAGGATTTACGTTAGCCTTACATCGTCAGTACTCAGTACCTGTATAGCTTGGGTGGCGATTTCCTTGTTCCAGGACACATGTCATGTTTGCTGGCTAGCTTTCTGTCTACCCTAGAAGCATTTTTTTTTTACTTTTTTTTTTTTTCCAGTATAATGGATTGGCATTCCTCTACTTGTAAATTCCTTATAGTGTAGCGTAGTGCCTCGTTCCTCTTCTTCTGGGGCAAAGCTCCTTCATCATCCATGGTGGGGAAGGTGACCATACATACTACATTAAGCACAAATTCTGCTTCTGCCATTTTGTATCCAGTATTTTTTCTTAAGAATCACAGTGTTGACTTAACCATAGCAAAACCCTAATAGAAATTTATTTCTGTCGAGTACAGAACTTGGGTAAACTGTACACCACCTTTTTTTCATATTTTGATGACGGAGAAAGGTTGTGGTGGTGTTTGTCCTTTTCCAGCTTTGCTCCTTGCTAAGTAAAGTGAAATGTCTTGCTACTTTCCCAATCAACTTTTGTGTCTAACTTTTTAGGTGGCTGGTCGCAAGGGATTCCCTCATGTGATTTACGCTCGTCTTTGGAGGTGGCCTGATCTTCATAAAAATGAACTCAAGCATGTTAAATATTGTCAGTATGCTTTTGACTTAAAATGTGACAGTGTCTGTGTAAATCCTTACCATTATGAGCGTGTAGTATCGCCTGGCATCGGTGAGTAAAGTTTTGATTTAAAATGCAACAGTGGGGATAATGTAAAATGTTTTCCTTTTGAGTGCAGAAAATACAGGCCTAAATTAGAAACATTTAACTTTTAATGCTCTGGTTATAAATTATTCTCATATGCTCTTGTCCATCTTCTTAGTGGAATTACTCTTTTACCTTTAGTCCTAATTTGAAAGAACAGTTTGTGGCTTTTGTTTCAAGTCTTTCTGTGGGCTTTGCACACGGTTCTTGCCGTTACCGTGTGTCGTTCGTAGGAATAACTTAGAGTTGTGACGGAGGGGGTAGAATATGTAGAATCTGTAGCATTAGTTTGTAAACTTAATGTTCAAACATCGTTGAAAATCTCTGTGTATATAATCCTCCACACCCCCTTGTCTTTTTCTTCTTTTCTAAAGATCTCTCAGGACTGACACTACAGAGTTCTGGTAAGTAGTTCTGTTTACTGTTGCGTTTCTGCGGGCACAAACTGTGTTAAGCTCTCCCAGAGTTTATTGCTGTGTAACTGTAACTCCTTGGGAGGGAGTTTAGGGAGCAGATGGAAATGCATTTGTCTCTCTGGTTTTGGAAAACCAGCTAAGCAGCACATGAGAGGCAAGTACTGATAAATTCCTTAAATTGAGGCTTCAGCTCAGCTTGTAGCTGTGTTCTGTTTTCATTGCCTGCAGCTTACAACCCCAACAAAAAAGAAAACCAAAATCCTCACTGTTGAATGCTGCTAATTTAAAAAAAAAAAACCCACAAACCAAACACCCAAGAACGTGTGCACCTGTATGATATACTAATTAATTGATTTGAGAATAATAGATGCTTATGATTTAATAAATAGTTTAACAAGAAAATAATAGAAGTTCTGTAATTAATATGCAATTGAGTGAAGCCCTGTAATATTCTTGGTGTTCCTGAAACTTGAGAAAAGTTGGACATTAAATGTCCGATGGACTCGGAGGAATCTGAGATTGTGCAGCTGGGAACTGCTTTATTTCAAAACGGATTTTTTTTTTCCCTTCCAAAAGAAATTCATAGAGAAGGAAATTTGAGTAATCCAATGTTGTGTTTTGGTTTGTTTTTTTTTTTTTTTTTAGCACATTATTAGAAGTATTCAAGCAAAAATAACTTTAAAAAACCCCAAACAACCCAACAAGCTATTAACTTCACAAGCTTTAACCTCTCTGCTAGTTTGCATTGTTACCTGTGTCCTCTGAAAAGCACAGAATCAAAGCTTCCTAGCCAGCAGTTAAATGCATAATAAGTGTTTCCTTGGCGTGCTGCTGTTTTTGCAGCAGGAAACAGAAAATGACTATCAGATTTTCAGATATTTAAGGCTGCTTTAGAAATAAGCCTGGGAGCTAATGTAACGCAAGAGTTTGACTTGAACGTGCTCAGTAGGGTATATAGAAATGAATTCCTGTAGTGCCAATGGGAGCAATTTCCTTACGCTGTATGTGGAATATTCTGAATTAGGGACTACATTGTTAGGTACAGAGTAGTGTTAATACTGTCTTTGAATGTGATTTTGATGTTTCTGGTCAATTTGGTTGGGAGTTGCGTAAAATTACTGGAGGGATGCATGAAGTTTTTTATGTGCTGTGTTCATCGTTACATTTTTTGTACGAGCTTTATGCGTGTTCTTACTTGTTGGGTAGGATTTGGTTTGTTAGCTGCTGCGTTAACAAGTGGTCAGGTGCTGGACAAGAAGTGAGTTTTATTAACCATGTCCAGTCACGCAGTGATGGCCTAGAAAACAAAATGCTGTTGGGAGTCTGCTACTGTGGGACTAAACTGCTTGTTTGATAGCAGTAAGCAAAATAAACAGTTTGCTTTTCCGTCCAGTTATGCTTCAAAATTTCCTGCTGCTGCCTTGAGGTGTTTATTTGTAATTTAGAGGAGTGCTTTAGCAGTGTTGATATAGGTTAAATCCTCCCCCCAGTCGTTTTAATACCATTGTTACTGCTTGAAAGGAGCAGTGCAAGTTGTATCGAAATCCTGAAAAGAATTTGCGTGGCGTGTTTAACTGTTTGCTCCTTCACAGCTCCGTCAAGCATGTTGGTGAAGGACGAGTACGTTCATGACTACGAGGGGCAGCCGTCATTGTCTTCTGCCGAAGGCCATTCAGTCCAAACCATCCAGCACCCACCAAGTAACAGGGCATCTACAGAGCCTTATAGCACCCCAGCCATGTTAGCTCCTACTGAGGCTAGCACTACCAGCACCACTAATTTTCCCAACATTCCTGTGGCTTCAACAAGTAAGCTCATCGAGATGCTGTGAAATGCTAAACTGCAAAAACCCAAAAGTTCAAAGATAATCGCTGGGTTTTGCCAAAGTAAATCTTGCATTGGAGCTGTGCTGCTGCCACGCTGCGCTGATAAAGCGCGTGGCGGTATGATCTAGGCCGTCTCATAACTGTTAACCTGAGGTTTTGACTTGGAGCATGATTTGAGTAACTTTTCCTGGAGAGCCAGTCTTTGGTTTTTTTGCTGAGACTGACCCTGCAGGAGTGTTACAAGACTGTTTTGATTGCGGCAAAGGTTCAGTGATAAAGTGTTTTAGAACACTGACAAAACGTGGTGGCTATTATTGGAATAATTGCTGTAGGAATGGAAGCATTTTATTATTTTATTGCAACAGCAAGTGGGACAACCAACGGATATACTGTAAGGTGGCAGTATCGAGAGGTTTTCAGACAATTCTTTAGTGTTCCGCAGCTGACAAAGTGAGTCTTCCCGTTTTAACTTGATTATTTTCATAAAGGCCCCTGTACTACCAAAGTGACAGCCCTAATTCATACTTTCACGAGTCCATTGGAGTGCTGCGTTGAAGTTTTTCGTACCTTTCCCTGTGTATTTGGTACAAGCGGAAGAAACCTCCGTGAAACCTCACACTTCACTCCAGCAGGACAGTACAGCAGTTACGTATGCAGTGTCCTGCAGCCCCGGTGTAGCGAAACCATGAAGTTTGGAGGGGTTTCACGGACTTTCTGTCACTTTGATATCAAGGACGTGTGAATATAACATTTCACGTTATCACATTTGAACGATGGTGGCATGGTGTTTTGATAATGTTCTGTAGTTTTAGCTGACAACTTTTTTTTTGCTAAAACTAGTGCTGGTTTTGCCAAGCTGAGAAGCGATGTCTGTGTTTGTCTCCAGCAGAGAAAAAGGGATAGGCAGTTTAATTGCATTGCCTTTGCACCTCACTTTATAGTCAATAACTTTTTCTCATCAGTGCTGTAATTGTGGGAGCCAAGTGGACAGGAAAAAAAGCTCGGTTTTAGGTTTTAATTCAGATTTTCAATGTGTGAAATTCTGCTAGCCACACCAGTTCGAGAGTGCAAGTGTACTTGTGAAAGTGCTGATCAGTTTAGTGTTAATGGCTGAGCTGAAGCCTTTTAAAATCAAATTCTGTTAAGCTGTTTTGAAATATCTGTAGTTTTACTTTAAAGTGTAGACAATTCTTGAAGTGTTTATTTGGGAGAAAAAAAAAACAAAACAACACAACAGGAAGGAGTCCAGTGATGTATGCAGCTCTATCCAAGCACTATTTTGAAAAATAAAGTACTGCTCAGTATGTTTCGGGGGAACATAAGTTTAAGTGAGTGTCCTCCTTAGGAACAGGAGTTTTGCTGAAAATAAGCAACTTGCTGGACCTACCGTTGGCCTGTTTGGATTCATACCAAATGTACTCCAGCGCCGTTGTGCAGTAAAACCTGTGACATCTTTCCTTTCAAACCGAAAAACGAGATGTGAACAAAACACAGATGCTGTTGATAAACAGAGTTCTCTGCATACTTCTGCTCCGAGAATTATTAAGGGTGTCAGAGTCAAAAATTAGCTGATGCGGAGCATCTTGCTTCAAGTTTCCTAAGACGCTCTGGTGGGTGGAAAAAAAAGTGCTGAAACCAAACTTGTAGGAACTGTGTATTGCAGTACCCGTATCTGGGTGTCTTTTCCTACCCAGTAGTGCTGAGCTTAATTAAAATTTTGGAACGTTCATGAATAGGTAGTGTGTTCTTTTACCAGGTCAACCTACCAGTATATTGACAGGTAGCCATAGTGATGGACTCTTACAGATTGCTTCAGGGCCTCAGCCAGGAACTCAGCAGAATGGGTTTACAGCTCAGCCAGCTACTTACCATCACAGTGAGTATATACATATGTGCACTCTTCTTAGTTTTCTAAAACCAGTTTCCAAATGTTCAGGAGAAATAGAGGATTAGAAGTGAGGTGCGGAAAAACTCCCTTAAAAACCAACCACTCCTTTCTTTTTCTAGATAGTACTACAACTTGGACTGGAAGTCGGACGGCAGCCTACACACCCACCATACCTCACCACCAGAATGGCCATCTTCAGCATCATCCACCTATGCATCCTGGACATTACTGTAAGTAGAGCAGATTTTCAGATCGCTTTCTTTTCAGTTTTGTGGAATGGTGGGGGCTTGTTTGTGATTATTCTGTACTCTCAAATCCTTTTTTTTTAATTTTTCATTATAGAACTACCATTACTGTGTTTGTTTTGACAGTTAAGTAGTAAGAGCTTGATGGGCTTTCCTCTGTTAAAGCAGCAAAGATTCAAAATTCAGGTAGCTGTAGTGATAACCATCTGTACTATCGATGTCTTACTTGACCTGACAAAACTAGCATTTCCTTTCTAAACCTCTGGTTATAAAAGCTTTGCAGTCTTGTAGTAAGTGTTTCCTTTGCAGAAAAGGAAATTGAATCAGAGTGTGCTCTTTGGATATTTTTTTTCTTTCAACACTTGGAAGTTCCCGGCTGTTTTTATTTTCTAGAAATTTTGAAGTCATGTCTTAGTGATGTAACGATCTGTGTGAAGCTTTGGAAGATGTGTGTCCGTGTACGCTAGCCAGTTTAAAAGAAGGCTCATGCAGTAACGTAGTTGTCAATAAAATAGTCTCGCCAAAGCCTGATTTCATGAGTACATTTGGCACACAAACTTGAAAAGCTTTCTCATCTATGAAATAGGACCACAACCTCTTGTTTTTGAGGTACAGGAGACGGGAAGGAAAAAAAAAATTTAAGTGATCAAACTTGTAGTGTAAGTGCCTAGCACAATATATGCACTGTGAGAGTACAGTGCAAAAAAAACCCCAAACCACTCAGTTACAGTTTTTCCTCAATTTTGTGGCAGAAAGCTGGAACAGTTCTGTATTTCCTGCTATAGTACTTAACCAGATCACCTGTTTGCAGCAGCCGTCATTAGTGGAGGGGAGAATATACTGTGAGCTAATGGTAGGATGACTTCTCAGCTTGTCACTATCAAGAAAATTGTGGTTTAGATACAGTTATTAAGTTTCACTATTTTGTTCCATTAGGATCCCACTTCATTTATCATCTTACTTGTCAAAAATACCAGGATGTAAAAACTAGGGCTGCTGTAGATCCTCTGTGAAGGTTTCTCAGTGCATGTATCTTTCCATAATTAATATTTGTAATTGGCTAGTGGTACCACAGAGAGCTTTTCTTGGCTGCTGCCTCTTCTCACTTCAGAAAGTCGCATGTTTTGACACCTATGGGCGTTGTGCCTGTTTTGACATCTTGTTGCAAAAGCTGCTGTTACTTGGAATACTATGAAGTCTTCCCTTCTTTTCTCTGCTGCCTGTAAGGGACCTAGTTAGTTTGTAAAAGTGGAGAGAATAAACTGACTGATACCAAGACTCTGTTCAGCATTTTTTTTCTTTAGAAAATGAATTCTCTAGGGCTTTTTTCCATCTTCAGGTAGCATTTCTTACAGCCAAGTCCACAGCGTGCTGGGCAACTGGTTCCGTGGTTGATGAAGCTAACGAAGCGTGGTTTCCGACAGATTGGTATCCCATGCCTCTGTGCAGTGATTCTCTCCTTGCCCAACTTGGGGGCAGCTGTGGAGCTTAAGTCCTATTTCTGTTCCAACTCTGTGCTACACCGGGTTTCTGCTCTCTCCTGGAGCTGGGTCTGGCTTGAGCAGTATACGGCCTTTCCTCCTGGGATACTAATGGAGCTCTTTGCTCTGCTCAACATCTGAATTTTTAGGAAACCTCTAAGAGTATAATTCTTTGGGCATTTTTCTCCTCTGTCAGATTTGGCCAGTTGATTCAGAAATTGCTGGAATTTCGAACATCTGGCATCCTCACAAGTCTTTTTTTTTTGTAGGAAAACAGAAAGAAAACCTTATTTTTCCTTGTGTAAAACAAATTGCATGTTTTCTTTTAAAGGGCCAGTTCACAATGAGCTTGCATTCCAGCCTCCTATATCAAATCATCCTGGTGAGTAAAATCTAGCATGTAATGCTGAGTGTTGTGGAAGCCAATAACTTTATGGTTTGAGTCTGATTTATTTTTATCAAGTACTCTGAAATTTGTGAGCTATATATGCAAAAGGAGAGGAAAGAAGGAGAGGAACCATTTTCTGATAAGTGTTCTTCTGAATTCAGACATCTCTTTTGGAATGGTGACACAGGCTGTGAGCTGCATTTAAATTAGATGCCAAAGTCAAAAATTGCAAGTCCTCAAACCCACACTGAGCTGGTGCCTGCCTTGGAGGTGTCTGAACTCGGAACGTCCTCGATCCTAAACTTTGCAGGGGGCTTGAAGTTGTACTTTTTGCCTGCTTAGAAACACCGTGGAGTTTAAGGTGGTGCTGAAGCCCTCTTGGATCCATGATCTGAAAGTCCACAATGATCTAGAAGTCATCGACCCTGAAAGATGGGTGTTGCCCTTGTTAGCATTTTGGTGCTGAAGTTCCTCCTTGGACCTTTGCACCTCTGTCCAGGAGGCTTCATTGATGGTAGCAGTTCATGGAACCAGAGGTCTTCTCGCCGTGCTAGCTCCCTTGCAGGTGCGAGGTGCTGTTCTGGTTTTTGGCAGCAGCAAAGCTGTTGCCTGCACAGGGAGAGCTGCGTGGTTGAATAGCCTAAAAGTTTAACTAGTTTATTCATTGGCCAGTGACTAAATCCACACCAGAAATAAAACTGTTGACAATTGCTGGCTGAGCTTAACTGTAGCTGAATTGTATTTCGTGTTATTTAATATGTCTTTTTCACCCTGTTGATTTCACCCTAGTCAGTCCCCAGAGATTTGAGTATTTATTTGAAGATAAAAAAACCTGAAAGGAATTCAGGCACCTTGGTTTATTCTTTTCTAATAAAAACAGAACGATGGTTTCTTGAGACAAGTAGGTGTGCTGTTGGGTGCTGCAGTTTGTAGTGAACAGATACCACTAAGGGCACTGGGGGAGCTCTTTTCTTCCTGGTGGCTTATCAGACTGCTGTGTTTAGGTCCTGTCACCTTAGCGCTTCTGCTTCCCCTGTTCTGAGTACCCCGTAGGGCTGGTTTTCTTTGCCCTCCCCAACAAGCTGCTGAAGTGTTACTCTTTTGTGGAAATGGGCCCTTCTAGTCAGCAAAAGTGCTGAGCTCCTGAAATCCCCGGTGGCTTAAGCTTCTGGCAACTACAGGTTTTAGCGTGTCTGAAGAGAAAAACTCCTTAACGCTTAGCAGTGCACACAATGAACTGCAGCAGGCTTGACGAGCTCCTGGGTAGCACACCAGCAGCAGATACACTTAAACAAAATCACTGTCTGTGCTTTGTCGGGTTTCCTCGCTTTGCTTGAGGGTTTGGGTTTCAGTAGCACCCTATAGGGAGCCAGGGTTTCCCTTCCTCCCGTGGTAGCTTCTTCCAAGTACCATCTTTCCTTTGTAACCTTTCTTTTTAAAACAGTGTGAGTTAAAAGGCACCTCTTTGCTGTTAAAACATGCCGTTTTGTTCTGCTCCGTTGCTTAATACTTCCTCGTTTTATCCCTTACCTCACTTGGTTGTGTGCAGACGAGATCAGTATGTGATCTTTGGTGTTTTTACCCCGTTGCCCTGTTTTCCAAATCTGGTTTGTTTTGCAGGGAGGGCAGAGAAAACATGACTTCACCTAGGAGGTGGCTGCTCATGTATCTTAAGCCAGATCTGTTGGAGAGTTAGTTTCTATCAGCCTAGCCATGAATAAGCATATATATGTATATTACTACTTTATGCTAAGGAGGACGAAATCAAGTTGTAGGCACAAGGTGCAGGGATGCAAATAGCTTTCAATATCTTAACTGGAATTACAAACTCTAAAATGACTTCTCTACAAAAAAAAACACGTAGTGTTGGTGTGTGCTGAAATAAAACCGACAAGCCCGCGTTCGTTGCCGCACGCGGTGTTTTTTCCGTGCTGGCAGACACGTCTTTGTCTCCCTGAACGACCTTAGGTGAATGTGCACTCCTGCTCTGGGTGACAAATGCGGTTGCAGAAGGCTTGATCGGTTGGCTGGCATGGGTTTGTAGGGTTTTGTGCCCTTCAGTCAGTTAATTGTGTATGTTCTTCAGCTCCAGAATATTGGTGTTCCATCGCATATTTCGAAATGGACGTGCAAGTGGGCGAAACGTTTAAGGTCCCTTCAAGCTGTCCGATTGTTACTGTTGATGGATACGTGGATCCTTCTGGAGGAGACCGTTTCTGCCTGGGCCAGCTTTCCAATGTGCATAGAACAGAAGCCATTGAGAGAGCAAGGTATTCCGCAAAAGCTCCAGCTGTCTGTGGTATTTGATAATATTTTGTTTTGCCTTCGGTGTGTGCCTCGCTTTTGGAATAAGTGTGGTGTATTTCTGTTAACTGAATTAGCTACAGCAGAGTATGTCTTTGTAGGCCGCTACTGTAACGCATTCAAAATGTGAACCTTCAGTGCTTTGCACGGCAGCGCGTGGCTTTTCATTCTTTTCAGGCCCTGTGCCTTTGAGGATCAAATTAACGACTCGTGCCATTACGTATGCGACCTGTTTTATTAGTATTAGCTCTCCGCACCGCGGAGTGACGCGAGAAGAGCTGCAATATCTAGATTTGTCAGAGGAGCAAAGGAAGGTCGAGAGCGAGCTCGTTGGGTTTTCATTCGTTCCTGCCACGCGTGTGCTGGGCTTTGACGCAGAAGCGTAGAGAACCGAAGCGATCTTGCTGCTTTTTTTTACCTTCCCTGAAACAAAAAGGAATAAAAACGACTCCCCGTCTTCAGAAATGGCAGTCAGAATGCTAGATGGCTGTAATGTCATCGAAACGAACATGAATGACTTGTGGCTTTGTAGGTGTACCTGGGTCATTTTCTGTGCCAGAATATTGGTGGGATTTTACGTTTCTGAACAGAACTGAGTGCGTTTGGTGTCCCAAGCTCTGCGCTGTCAGCAGGTGCGGTGGTTGCTACCTGAATATCATTGCTTCTGCATTCTGTGGTTCCCGTAGATCTCTACGTGGCATTACAGATGGTGTTTTACTTTACAGATTTTGTGTAACTCTGTGCTAACCCACACCTGAGGTAACAACTACAGTTTCAAGTCCTTGTATGAGCGTGTGTCCCTGTAATGGCCTCACAGACAACTCTGGAGCTGGGAAGTGCCTTATGGTTCAGTAAAGGTCTGATTTAGAGTATGTACACAGAGGTGCATCGGAACTGTTTTTCTTTTTAAGGTTGCACATAGGTAAAGGGGTGCAGTTGGAGTGCAAAGGAGAAGGCGACGTGTGGGTTAGATGCCTGAGTGACCACGCGGTCTTCGTTCAGAGCTACTACCTGGACAGAGAAGCAGGGCGTGCACCAGGGGATGCTGTTCACAAGATTTACCCAAGTGCATATATAAAGGTTGGTTTGATGTTCCTGGGTGAAAACGGGCAGGGAAATAGCATATGTTTCATTCTTTTAAATGTTGGGGAAGCCCTGAGGCGCTGAAATGTCACTTTGCTTTTGATTCTCCTGTTAAAAAACCTAAATATTTCTGATTTAAGATGACTTTTTGAAATGAGCCTGAACTGAAAGTATCATCTAGATACCACAGAAGTAACTAATTTTGTATTTCATCACAATCTTGATAGCAGGTTTTTTTATATTTTTAACCTTACAGGTTTTAATTAACTGTTCCTAAAATTTTTAGCTTGGGTTATCTGTTTCTTTACTCTCTCTGCAAAACAAAAGTTGGGAAGGTTTGTGTAAATGCCATAGAAGTGTAAAGTGTTGTGAGTATGAGGTCACAGAAAGTTGCATGGAAAGAAATTTTTTTCAGGAGATTCTTCCTTGGACGTGCCTTTGCCATTTGCTTAGGACATGACACGCTTGTAAAAAATCAGTGATAAACTGCTTGAAGTTTGCAGGGGTTTGTTTTGATTTTTTTTTTTTTTAATCCTTAGTTTTGCAGGCAGGTTGTGAAATGAAGGTGAAAGAAACCCCACCGGCCTCTCTGTGCGAGCTTTTCTGTGTGAGAACAGAGCTCCTATGTGTATCACTGCCGAGCCTGGTCACAAAGACACAAAATGCCACCAGCCTGAAACCTAGCTGGCTGAAACTTCAGGCCTATCAATTATTGGTATTTCTTTTAAACAGACTTAACACATTTCAGTAAAGCAGCAGAGAATGAAGTCTGACAAAGCTAAGCAGGACGTGATGGCTTCCATTTTTATTTACATGCCTGTTCACTGGAAATCCTGGGATTTAGCTAAAAGGTTGGGATTGGATCATCCTTCAGACTTTTATCCTGCAGTCGATTCCACGCAGGATGCTGCTTTAGAGCCTGCTCAGCTCGTCCAGGTTCTGGCATTGCCGGTGGTGGTAACGTCATGTGAGAAGAGTCTCCAAGAATGATCTTTAATGGATGATTTCTGTTAGAAATTAAACTAGGTTTGCTTTTACCCAAAAGGTGTCTGGTGAGACTGTAGTAGAAATTGCTTTGGGAGAACAGAGGGGTCCAGATTATTGGGGGTGGGACCTGAGGAATTCTTTCCTTCGTTGATTTCGGGAAGTCTGCATAGTTTGAGATTTTATTTATTTTATTTTATTTTTTTTGAAAGGTGTTTGATTTACGCCAATGTCATCGTCAGATGCAACAGCAGGCTGCCACCGCCCAAGCTGCTGCTGCTGCTCAAGCTGCAGCGGTAGCAGGAAACATCCCTGGCCCAGGATCAGTAGGTGGAATAGCCCCAGCCATTAGTAAGTACATCAACTGCTTTCTCTCTCAGCAAACAACAGGGATTACTGGACAACTCA